GAATCGTTTTCAAGGCTCAATACATAATTTGATAAGCCAATGATTTTTTTCTTGTTTCAGAATACGGTTAACCAACATGTTAACTAATCGATACGATAAATCAGATCAGATTTTGCAGGTTTTTCTTTTGCAGTACCTAGACGTGACATGAGTGTGAAAGTGGTTCAAAAATCAGTTTTCTTTTTATAAGGGCTAAAATCATTTATTTTGGCTTTTTGACCCCATATTGTAGAGTGGATCTCGAAAGATATGAAAGATCTCCTTCCAAACCGTACATAAGACTTTCATCGAATACAGCTTTCCACAGAATTCTATATGTATCTATGAGATTGAGTATGAAATTTTGTTTACTCACTTTAAATTGAGTATCCGTTTCCCTCCTTTTCCTGCTAGGATTGGAAATCCTGTATTTTACATATCCATATGATTGAGTCCTTGGGTTTTCGAAATAGTGTAAAAAAAAGTGTTTCGAATCATTGCTATTTGACCTGGACCTGTTCAAAAAAAGTTGAGACATTTTGAATTGTTTGTTGACACGGATAAAGTCAGAGAAAATCTCTGAAATTATTTCAATATTGGACTTTGAACGTATAATAGTTCCGAATCGAATCTCTTTATAAAGAAGATCTTTTGTCTCATGGTAGCCTGCTCCAGTCACCTTAGAAACTTTCATTATTGGGTTAGCCATATTCTTTACATGTTTCTAGCGATTCACATGGCATCATCAAATGATACAAGTCTTGGATAAGAATCTACAACGCACTAGAACGTTCTTGTTGACGATCATTTACTTCGACAACATATAGAGTTCCTCGAACAATATGATATATCACACCGGGTAAATCCTTAACCCTTCTCTCTCTTACTAAGACTACAAAATGTTCTTGTGAATTATGACCAATACCGGGTATATAAGCAGTGATTTCAAATCCAGAGGTTAATTGTACTCTGACAACTTTACGTAAGGCAGAGTTTGTTTTTTTGGGGGTGACAGTGGAAAAGTTGACAGATAAGTCACCTTTATTGCCACTCTACAGAACCGTACATGAGATTTTCACTTCATACGGCTCCTCGTTCAATTCTTTCGAAGTCATTGGGTCCTTTTCCTCGTTCGAGAATCTCCTCCCTTCTTCCACTCTATCCCAAAGAGTAATTAGGACAAACTCAGTCACGTTTTCATGTTCTAATTGAACACTTTCCATTTTTGATTATTTTCGAAGTAGAAGATTATTCTTTTTACCAAACATCTGCGGATTCAATCACAAGATCTTATAATAAGAACCAAAAGATTTTTCTCGATCAAACCCCTTGCCCCTCATTCTTCGAGAATCAGAAAGATACTTTTTTAAATTTGAATTTGTTAATTTGGAATCTGGATTCTTCTACTTCATTTTTATTTACTTATTTATTTATTATTTTTTTTCTCTTTTTTTATTTCTTTATTTTATTCCCTTCTATTATTCTTTTCTTAAGTCCCATGAGTTTGATCCTATAGAATCTGATCCATTTTTTCATTGAGCGAAGGATACGAAATAAATTAAATCAAATTGATTTTTCGATCAAAAGCACTATGTGAAATCTTCGGTTTTTTCCTTTCTCTATCACTATCCCATAGGGACAACACTTGAATCAATAGAGAACATTTTCTTCTGAATCGATATTATTACATTCCAATTCTTTACCGATGCTCCTAAAGGAAAATCCCGAATTGGATCCCAAATTGACGGGTTAGTATAAGCTTATCCATGCGATTATGCACTCTTCGAATAGGAATCCATTTCAGAAAGATCTTGGCGTTTGTGCTTTGGTGGGTCTCCAAGATCCTTTCGACGACTTATGTTGTGTTAAAAGGATATCTATATGATCCGATTGATTGCGTAAAGCCCGCAGTAGCAACAAAACCGAGGAAAGTATACAGAAAAGACAGTTCTTTTCTATTATATTAGTATTTTCTATTCTATTAGTATTAGATTTGTATTACTTAGTGATCTCGGCTCAGTGAGTCCTTTCGTCCATGATTAACTGTTGGCACTAGTCTTATATTTTGTCTCTGTGGACCGAGAAGAAAGGAGGCTCAACGGGAAGAGGATTGTACCATAGAAGTAAGGAGGTCAACCTCTTTCAAATATACAACATGGATTCTGGCAATGCAATGTAGATGGCTTTCATGTTGATCCGAATGAATCATCTTTTCCGCGGAGGATAGCAAGTTATAAATTCTGTTTCGGTAGGATATGTATTTTTATTACTATGAAATTCATAAATGAAGTAGTTAATCGTAGGGTTACCATTATCCTTTTTGTCGTGACGAATCTTGTATGTGTTCCTAAGAAAAGGAATTTGTCAATTTTTCTGGGTCTTAAAGGGGCGTGAGAACACATAAGAACTCTTGAATGGAAATGGAAAAGAGATGTAACTCCAGTTCCTTCGGAAATGGGAAGATCTTTGGCGCAAGAAGAAGGGGTTGATCCGTATCATCTTGACTTGGTTCTGCTTTTTGATTTTTTTAAGAAAAGAATACCACTTCTCCTACCTTTATCGAATAGAACATGCTGAGCCAAATCTTCTTCATGTAAAACCAGCTTGATTTAGATCGGAAGAATCACACGATTTTATGAAACCATGTGCTATTGCTTGAATCTGTAGTCAATCCTATTTCCGCTAGGGGCAGTTGACAAATGAATCCAACTTTTTCCATTATTTTCATTTCATATATGTAATAGTGCGAAAGGAAAGCCCGACTCCAAGTTGTTCAAGAATAGTGGCCTTAAGTTTCTCGATCCTTTGCTTTAGGATTAGTCAGTTCTATTTCTTGAGGGGGGGGAGGGATATAACTCAGTGATAGTGTCACCTTGACGTGGTGGAAGTCATCAGTTCGAGCCTGATTATCCCTAAACCTAATGAATGTGAGTTTTTCTATTTTGACTTGCTCTCCCGCCGTGATCGAATAAGAATGGAGAAGAGGCTCGTGGGATTGACGTGAGGGGGTAGGGATCGCTATATTTTTGGGAGCGAACTCCAAGCAAATATGAAGCACACGGATACAAGTTATGCCTTTGATATAATGAAGGATGTGATTGGTGGCCTAGGGTTTAGAAACTACATAGATACGGTAGCTGCCAATTTTTTTTTCTTTCTAAATTAGCTAAAGGAAGCCTAAAGCAGAATCCCACAACCTTCTAACCTTCAGACACCAAGAAGGATATGGTTGGTGGCCTGGGGTTAGTTATTACAAAGATAAAATAGCTGTCAAATACTTTTTTCTAATAAGGTAAGGCATGTATTCCATGTACTGGATGGAATAGCAACATCGTTTAAGAGAGTCAGACTATGAAAGTAACATATAACCTTATCAATGCACACCAATTGATACAAAAACCAACCCTGCATAAATTATACCTTTGACTTCTGACCTATTTCTTTTCCAATCAGATACACATCAATGCAATGAGAACTTGATCCCAAATCATGCTATCTTTTCCATATTATCTGCTTGAAACTTTTGCTTAGTGACTAGCCTTCTATTTGTCTCTGAACAGAGGCGCATACTGGAGTTCACAAAGTATGAAATGTTAAACAAAGCATTGGAAGCTTTTGGTGATCTAGGAGATGATGAGGAACTTGGACCTGCTGACTGGCCTACAGTTAAAAGATATATTGCAAGCTTAAATGACTTGGAAGAGGAACGTGTGCATCCCCATGGGGCATCTGAAAGTGAAACTTTGGACCCTACAAGTCTGAAAGACATACGTGTACGGCTTTTGAATGGTTAGTTCAACCATATTTGCTTTCAGTAGTCTACTCTTTCTCTTTAGTGTATCCTCTCATTCTCTCTGCTCTAATCTTTGTGGTTGTTAGTTGCATTGTATGTTATTTCTTTGAGATAAATATAGATCGCATCGAAGAATTTCATGATGAAAATGTTATTTGTCATTTAGTGTTGCTGTGCCCTAAATTATCTTAAAAATACTTTTGCAAATTCATAAGTAATTTAAAAATTCAATAAATTTTCCTTTTAAAACTTGAGAATTTTCTATTGGTATGATGGTTCTTCCACTTCATTTGGTTCATTTTCCACTTAATTCTTAATCAATACTCAATTTAAATTCTAATATTACTCTTGATATACATAATCAGAATATAATTTGTTTGAATTTCAACCATCAAGTAATTCAAGGTGGGACAGTGATAACTCAAGCACAATAAACTATTTTCTAATTTTGCATGTTAAGAGTAATATGAATATCAGAATTAGGATTTTTTTTTTTGGGATAAGAATGTCAGAATTAGGAATTGAATGTACAATGAATAAAATGTAACCTTAATGCAATGAACACTTCACCTAGGAGCTTGTGTTCCTCTGTTGTGTAGCAGAATTCTGCATATATTGTTTAAATACTGACCTACACAAACACAGAAACTGCAGTTTTTTTTTTGGTTCAAATTAGTTTAGTTTTTTATGCTCATTGGCTATGTGGCGCTATTTCAAATCTATCTTTCATTTAATCAATTTTTATGTTTTGATTTAGAACATTTTTCATGCCAGGTGTCCAAGCAGCCTATTGGGGGATGCTTGATGAGGGACGGGTAACACAAACTACCGCAATTCTTTTGATGCGGTCAGTAGATGAGGGAATTGACTCAGCTTCTCATGAGGCTTTATGCGATTGGAATGGTCTAAAATCCAATGTTCACTTTCCAAGTTATTACAAGTTTCTGCAGTCTAGCATTTGCCCACGAAAGTTGGTTACTTACTTCACCGTGGAAAGGTTAGAATCCGCATGCTACATATGTGCTGCATTCCTCCGTGCCCACAGAATTGCACGACAACAACTTCATGACTTTTTAGGTAAAAGTCTTTGATATGGAAATTTTAAAACTGTTGGTGCTTACAGCAGCTGAAAAAATTAGGTCGTCAGGGCATTTGAAGTAAATCTGCTATCTTCAATATTATAACAAGTGGGGATATTTACAAAAACATCATTTAAGCTATAAACTACTTTACGTTAGCCCATATTTTGTCAAATAAAATAATTCAGTCTTTAGAAATTAATAAATTTAAAATTAACACTTTACTCTCTTTTTTACAGACAAAAGAACAACAAAAACAAAACAAAACAAAGTAATGTTCTAACAGTATAAGAATAATTCGTATTCATTTCTCATGTAGCGTATCTCTATCAATTTGATGCAAAATATTGTAGCAGCAAATAATTTTACCTCTCATTTAATATAGCACCCAACATCTCTACAGTTTTACCCAACATATAAATAACAAAGGCTGTAAGTAAAACATATGTTGGGACAAAAACAAAATAAATTGTAAACACATTTTAAGCAAAATAGAGAATATTGCTTGTGTTATCTTGGACCTGTATCTTTTTTGTTTGTTAGTAATAAATTTATAAGAGAAATGGATTTTTTTCCCCTAACAACGAGGATTAAAGTGTCATTTATGTCAAGTTTAGAGAATCTATTTCACAGTCTCCCTAAAGCTTGAGATATAGGGACTAAAACTGTTTTATTTAACAAATTGTGAATTCAATTGATATTTGTTTGTAGTTTAGAGGCTATATTTTTCAATATTGAGTAATATGTGATACTAAGACAAGGTTTATTTGAAAAAAAATTGATACTAAGACAAGTTGCCACAAAACCTACACGGCTTCTAATTAAAACAAATAAATGTACTCTTATATTTAATCTGTATTGTAATTTGTGAACATTGTTAATAGTATTCTTTTTATCATTAGGGTTCTACAACCTAATGTCTGTAAGATTAAAACTCTACATTCTAATGTCTTGTGATGTTGTAAATAGTACATTTGTGTGATAGAATAAAATCACCCTTCAACATTAGGTTGTAGAACCTTCATGATATAAAGAAAAATAATATTAGTTATATGCACAAATTATAACACAGGTTTGTATAAGAGTATATTTATTCCTTTACTAATGAAAAGTAGCAAGAACTCTATGGCTTTCTGTCAAAACTGCCACATAATTAATTATCACAGTTTTTATATTCTCTTCTCAGGGAGGAAAATACGTTGCTCAGTTGTACATTTCAGAAAGACAATTAACATGTTTATTTTTCAGCTTAATCCTTTTCTATTCTTTTGGGGCCGGGAAGTATTATGATACAGAAATGTCACAAAGAATCATTTTTAAGAGAAGTTACTTAAAGATCAATCTATTCTCTGAAAGAGATTAGGGAAGCTTGTCAATATTTTGGCTAAGTCCCTTCTGCAATTCTCTTGTTTATATAGTTTTTGTAAATGATTGGTAGCTAGTTGGAGCCTCTTTTATGATATTTTTCTCTTAAAAAACTCATTTTCAACTGAAATCTCACGAAGAAAATCTCTTCACTATTAAAACTAGTGTAGGAAAATCTGTGACAGATTCTTTATCTATAGTCATAAAGTGAGATATTCATGTGAAGTTGCTCGCCTGGTTTTGCATGAAAAATGATTGGTAGCTCGTTGGAGACTCTTTTATGATATTTTTCTCTTAAAAAAACCATTTTCAACTGAAATCTCACAAAGAAAATCACTTCACTATTAAAACGAGTGCAGGAAAATCTGTGACAGCTTCTTTATCTATAGTCATAAAGTGAGAGATTCATGTGAAGTTGCTCGCCTGGTTTGGCCTGAATGAACTAAGGAAAGGGATATGTTTCAGGAAACCTGATCAAGATTTCTTCCTTTGCATCAGTTCAAACTAATAAAGTGAAATCTCAATTTCTTAGAGCACCAACAGTGTGTACTAAATGCTGTTGGAAATCAAAATCTCATATGAAAATAGTGTAGGTACAGAAATTGAAATCATCATTTGCTAAAACTCAAAGTTAAATAGTTGGCTTACTCAGAGAGGAAACTAGGGAGAAGAATCCTGTTCTGCTATCCCTTCGTATCTCGAGTGAAATTTGCAAATTGCTACCTTACAAAGTAGAAAGAAGTATGAAAAAAGAGAGAAATCCATGGAGCTGTTTTCTCTTCCAATGTTCATTATTTTGAGAAGCCCAGCACTTCACAATGTGTCTTAATCCATTTCACTGTTTAGGTGACAGTAATGTTGCTTCAATAGTAATTAATGAAAGCAAGGCAGAAGGAGAAGAGGCAAGAAAGTTCTTGGAAGATGTCCGGCTGACATTTCCTCAGGTTTGTGAGTAAATATGCTGTTAGTTGTTGGTGATGACTAGTTATGCCTGATTAAGTTCAAATTTCTCTGGTTGTTAAGGTACATTATGGAATTAATAGTACATTGCTGATAAATTTCCTAGTCCCAGAAAGGCTCATTTATGTTGCAATCCTTCAGGTTTTGCGTGTTGTAAAAACTAGACAAGTAACATATTCGGTGCTGAATCACTTGATTGATTATGTCCAAAATCTTGAAAGAGTTGGGCTGTTAGAGGAAAAAGAGATGCTTCACCTTCAAGATGCTGTCCAGGTTCCACTTCAATAATTAGGCTTTGCACAGTCTTCTGTCTGAGTTCTATTCATTTGTCATTTTTACTAAAATGGGTTATTTATCTTTTGCTGTAGACTGACTTGAAGAAACTTTTGAGGAATCCTCCTTTGGTGAAAATTCCAAGAATAACTGATATGATTAGACTCCATCCTCTAATGGGGGCTCTTCCTCCTAGTGTTTCTGGGCCGCTTGAAGGCTCTACTAAAGAAATGATGAAATCATGCGGTGTTACACTTTACAGGGAGGGCTGCAAGCCAAATGGTATCTGGCTTATTTCTAACGGTGTTGTTAAGGTACTTAAGTTTTAGTGGGTAAAGTTGGAGTTTTAAAATTTGTACTTTCAAGTTGATCTGGTGAGGTTATTTTGCCTTGGTCTCAGATTATTAAAATGGGCATTTATTGCTTGGCAGTGGACAAGCAAAACTATAAGGAGCAAGCACATGTTACATCCAACATTTACACATGGGATTACATTGGGCCTCTATGAAGTGCTAATTGGAAAGCCTTACCTTTGTGACATCGTTACAGATTCCGTGGTACTCTGTTTCTTCATTGAAAGTGAAAAAGTACTTTCAGTATTGCAGTCAGATCCTGCAGTAGAAGATTTCCTGTGGCAGGTATTATTATATGATCTCTTAGGTAATTGATCTTTATGACACATGAGGTGAAGAGAAGTGTAAAGATAAAGAGAGGTTAGCATAAATGATGTTCTTTAACCTTCCATTATTCTCTGAATAAGTTTTGGTTTATAAATGACTTCAAGTTCAACAAGACTAGATGATCTCCTTTTTATGTGAATGATCTCTCTTCTGTCTAAAATTTGTTGTGTCCTGACTTTGTAGGATTCTGATCCATTATGAATGCAATCAGTTGTCCTTTTTTTTCTGTAGGAAAGCGCCATTGCTCTTGCCAAGCTCTTGCTTCCTCAAATATTTGAGAAAGTGCAAATGCAAGAATTGAGAGCTCTTGTTGCAGAAAGGTCAACAATGACCACATATGTAAGCGGAGAAACTATTGAAATACCCTACCATTCCATTGGCTTTCTACTGGAAGGATTCATAAGAACTCACAGCCTCCATGAAGAGCTGATCACATCTCCAGCAGCTTTATTGAATTCAAATCTTAATCAAAGCTTCCAAAGTGCTGAAATATCTGGTAATTAATATTAATGTGGTGATATGTCCTCCAGAAGCTTCCTTTCATCTTTCTGAAAAGAAAATTCCTTCAGACAATTAAGCATTCTCCATATATAATAATTGTGACACATAAAAACCTGCATACATGGAATCTTAGAAATGCATGGAAACTTTTTATGTGCCACAACTTAGAGATTACTGGGGACAACCAAACTGATAGCCATATCTGTTTAAGTTCCTCCTCTTAGTTGTAATTTGATATCTTCACGCAATAGGTATTGCCTTAAGCATGCTAGAATTTGTCTAAATTAAGTGATTATCCTTTCAAATGTCTTTAATCCAGTTTAGGTGATCCCAAATTACATTAGTTCTAGAGTATGGAGCTAATATAACATCTAAGAACTTGCCTTATGAGTACTTTTGTAATTAGCAGAAGATTGGGAATTGCAAATTTCCATAACATAATGTTTTTGGTTATTAGACCATATCCTTGTGCAGGAATACAAATTCTTATAGAACTCCAATTCCTATACAAATTAATATTTTCAAAGAAATTTCCCAATAAAGTAGAATCATAGTCGACTTTCATACTTGGAAGTTCTTTTCCTTTTATGGGAGTTATTTGTATTTAGCTTCCTGTTAAAATTCTTCTTAATCTATTCGAGTAAAGAAAACACATCAGAAATTTTTACTGTTAAATCTAGCCTCCGTAACTTGCAATAAGGAGATCTATCCATATCTTAATACTATAGTATTCTCATCCATCATTCACAATGGTTCGATGTGTTCGAGAAATTTACATGGAATTGCCCAAATAATAAAAAGTGGTATAGAGAAATTTTGGAAAAGAAAAGAATTTTTAAATATCTCATGGGGTTTGACAAAAATGTAGATGAAATCCGAGGAAGAATACTTGGAATGAAAACATTACCTAGCACCCGTAAGACATTTTCTCAAGTAAGGAGAGAAGAAAACAGAAAAAATGTAATGTTGGGAGCTGGAATGACAAGCATTATTATTAAACAAAACACTGCCTTGATTGTTTGGGCCCTCATGCCAACTCAGCACATTGCAAAGAAAGGGAAAACATTAGTGTGATCATATAGAAATCATATCGTTTCGAGACGATTGCTGAAAAATTCATAAAAAGAATAGCTGATTTAAAGATCACAAAATCAGATAAAGACAAAGAAAATAGGGGAAATCATGTCTTCATTAATGAAACTGTCTCCACTAAGAAATCATGCCCATTTAACAAAGAACATATAGAAACTTTTCATAAAATATTCCTACATTAAAATTCTATCAGTAACAATATAGGATTTGGGACAATAACCCAAAAAAGTAATTCTGTTAGTGCTCTTAATACTATTCAGGAAGCCAAGATACTTGAATAATTGACTCAGAGGCATCTGACCATATAACAGGTAATATTCTTATATATATTAAGTTGATTTCTCATATATATTAGCATAATTATAAGCGACAAATTAATAGGGTGATTTATGTTACCATATATAGATCTCTCTGTTGTGTATATATATCCCTAACTTGTTGGAACAAAAAATAAGATATTTTACCTATTTTTTTCTGTTATTTTATGTGGTATCAAAGTCATGGGTTAGAGAGAGAATCGCAGAAAGAAACAGATCTGTGATCAATTCTTTCACTCTTGACCGCCACCTAAAGGAGAAACCAGAGACGGCGGTGCGGCGGCTTTACCGATGACAGCCAAATCTAAGAGTAGCAACCAGATCCGACACGATACCAGAAGAACTGTTCTCGGTGAAATGATTAGCGCAGCAGCCCTGATCTGACAAAACAGTTCGCAGCTCCACCCGGGGAAGGAAGTTGTGCAGACGATGCAGGGCGCGACAGAAGGCTGGATTTGTGCCACCGCGGCTAGAGAGCTTTGTACGTGTGGCTTGGCACATGATGGCTAGATCTGTGCGGTAGTGGTGCTCCCAACCGAAGAAGTCGAATTGTGCTGCAGTTTTCCATATCTGCGCACAATGTGACTTCGACCAGATCTCCGGCATTTTCTGTCCATTCCACCGAGTTCAGGCGCTTCTTTCGATGATTTCTGGCGGCAGTAGGTGAAGCTCCAACAACAGCGCGTCTATCAGTGTGTGTGAGTGCATGGGATGCGCTAGTAGTTGAGCACGATGGTTTTGCACAATGGTGTTTCTAGTGCTGGGTTTCTGGTTGTTTCGGGTGATTTTTCATCAGATAGTTTAGTTCTTGAATTAAAATGGATGGTGATATTATTTGCTATTATTGTCGTGAATGAGAGCATATAAAGCGGTAGTATAAAAAATTGTAGAATTACAATCAGAGAATACAGACCGCTAATCTTATTGCTACTACTGTTAACCCATCTTCTTAAAAAATTGTTATGATTTTAGCTGACGAGTATGCTGAATTCTCTCAATATCAAAATTTTTTGAAAAAATTCTCTATTCTTGGCGAATCAAAGGAAAAATATTTTATCTCCTTTTTAAATATATTGGTTATTGATTCTGATGGTACAGATCATGTAATAGTTAATTTTAATATTTTTTCAAGTTTTTAACCACACAAAGCACTTTTTTCTGTAATCATTGCTAGTGGGTCAACCTATAACATTATGGGTTCTAGGACCACAAGCCAACTTCATCTATTAACTTGTTATCTATATTAGTTTACCTAAACTTGTTTTCAATCTAATTTCTGTTATTAGGCTTATTAAACATTTTAATTGTTGTATTACATTCTTTCCTGATCAATTGTCTTCTTCAAAATCTTATCACAAAACAAATTATTAGTGAGAGATATGTATCAGATGATTTTTACATTTTTTATACTTAGGTGTCTTGGTCAGTTGTCTATTCTAGCGTCGTTTCTCCATTTGAAACACATTGTCAATTAGGATATAATTCTCTTCTTGTGTTGAAGAAACTATGTTCTCAGTTTCATGATGTACCTTCATTAAATTATAAATTATGTTAGTTTACGAAACATCATTGTAGTTCGTCAAATCCAAAAGTTAATAAACGAGGTAAGTTTGCTTTTGAGTTAGTTCATTCTGATATTTGGGCCTCTGTCTTGCTCCATTTAATATGAAGTTTAAATATTTTGTCATTTTGTGGATGATTTTTTTTAGAATGACTTGAAGATATTTTATAAAAAATCGTTTTAAAGTATTTTTTCACTTTGTGTCTTTTGTACTGAATTCAAAACTCAATTTAATGTTTTTGTACATGTATTAAGAAATGATAATGTCAAAAAATATATATCAAACTCATTTCAGAACTATATGACTCAATGTAGAATCTCACCAATCATCCTGTATTAATACACCCTCTCAAAATAGAGTCGCATAGAGGAAGACTAAGCATCTACTTGAGACGGCTCGAGACCTTTTGTTTCAAATGCAGGTTCCCAAGCAATTTTGGACCAATGTTGTTTATCCAGCTTGTCTTTAATCGCTTACCATCTACAGTACTCAATGGAGATGCTCTTTACAATGTTCTTTTTCCAAACAAGCTTTTGTTTCTAGTGTAATATAGGGTATTTGATAGCACCTTCTATGTTCGAGATATATGATCTAATGTTACAAGTTGGACCTAAAGACCTTAAAGTGTATCTTTTTGAGATATTCTCGCATTCAAAAAAGATATTGGTGTTACTTTCCATATCTCAATAAATTGTCTAATTCTATCAGTTAAGAAGAGGACAATGAGTGGTTCATCTATAGGTTTACACTAAGTGTCTCTATTGAGCAAATAGATAATAGTGTTTTTTTGAATAATGTACCTCTACCTCTAGTTGAGCAAGCTGATAATGGCGTTGGTGTACCTCCAATTCAAGTATCATCGCTAATTGTTCGTATTTATTTCAGAAGGCAACAGACTAATGATACATGGCGTGCACTGACTCTCTTGTCATCTAATCCTACCCCACATAATCTTGATCTTCTCATTGTCTTCGCAAAGGTAAACATCAGTGCACCATCGCTAAATCTACTTATCCCATTGTTAATTTTATTTCATATAACAATTTGTTTCATTCGTTTATCTCTTTAATTGCTTTTATACACTCAATTTTCATACTTAAGATAGTTAAGGAGACTTTGAATCACTCTGATTGGTATAATGCAATACTTGAGAAGATAATGCTCTCAATAAAAATCATATTTGAGATTTGGTAGATTTATTCGAATACAAAAAGGTTGTGGGGTACAGATAGGTATTTTCAGTCAAAGTGAATGCAGATGACCCTATGGCAAGATTTAAACCCAGACTTGTAGTAAAAGGCTATACTCAGACGTATGGGGTGGATTATTCTGATACCTTCTCTCCAGTGGCCAAACTTACATATATCAGTTTATTCATCTCTATTACGGCATCTCAAAATCGACGCTGACACCAATTGGATATCAAAAATGCATTCCTCTAGGATGATCTCTTAAAAGAAGTGTATATGAAGCAACCATCTAGATTTGTTGCTCAAAGAGAGTACAGGAAGATATATCATTTGAAGAAATTTTTATATGCTTTTAAGCAGAGTCCCCGTGCCTAGTTTGACAAATTTAGTGAAGTAGTTTTGGAATTTGGGTTGGAGAAGAGTAAATGTGATCACACGATCTTTTATAAACAATCAGTAGTCGGTAAATGTGATCACACGATCTTTTATAAACAATCAGTAGTCGATCTTATATTTCTTGTTATCTATGTTAATAATATTGTAAGAATATGCTCTCTCAAGTTATTCTTACAAACTAGTTTCACACCAAAAACTTTAGTCAGTCAAAATACTTCTTGGAAGTAGAAGTGACAAAAAACAAGAAAAGAATTTTCTTATCTCAAATGAAATATGTACTTTATCTACTTGTAAAAACCGAAAAGTTAGGAGTTAAAGCATGTAATACGCCAATGGTACCGAATATACATCTTACAAAAGATAATGGTGACCCCCTTGATGATCTAGAAAGGTATAAACGATTAATTGAGAAACTAAATTACCTCACAGTGACTCATGTAGATACTGTATATCATGTCAGTATTAGTAGGCAGTTTATGTCTGCACCTACAGTCAAACATTGAGAAACTTTAAAAGATATTTTGTACTACTTAAAATGTACTCCAGCACTTGACATATTATTTAACAATCAATGGTACATTCATATTGAATGTTTTACAGATGCTGATTAGACTGCATCTAAAACTATTATGTTTTTGTTGGTGGGAAACTAGTATCGTGGAGAAATAAGAAGCAGGCCATTGTGTCCCGATCCAGTACAAAGATCGAATACAAAGTTATGGTCCAATCCACATGTGAAGTAGTATGGATACACCTCTTAGCTGAAGTGGGTTTAAAATCCGTATCACCTGCAAAATTCTGGTGTGATAATCAAGCACTTCATCTTACCTCTATTCAATGTACCATGAAAGAATCAAACATATCGAGATTGATTGTTAATTTATTTCTGAGAAAATTTAGGAAAACTTGATCTCTACTGATTATGTGAAGACAATGAAACAAGTAGATGATATATTCATAAAGGCCCTAAATGGAACTCAAGCTGAATATCTTCGTAACAAACTGAACATGGTTAATATTTATATTTTAGCTTGAGGGCGAGTATTACAAGATTACAAAATATATTACAGAATATTTCTATATATATTAAGTTGATTTCCCATATATATTAGAATAATTATAAGCAACAAATTAGTAAGATGATTTATGTTGTCAGCATATATATATACCTCTTGTGTATAGCCCTAATCTATTGGAATAAAAGATAAGAAATATCTTATCCTTTTTTTTGTTATTTTACAACAGTAAATAAAATATTTTTTCAAAAACTATAATCTATATAATGAGAATGTCACCATAAAAATAGTGGATAAATATCACTCAAGAGTGCCTGCGATAGGTGATATCTCCATCTCGAAAGGAGTTAGCTTTAAAAAGAGTTCTTCAAGTACCTAAATTTGGGATTGTAATTTACTCTTGGTAAGCAAACTTACCCAAGTTCATAAGTGTATTGCTAAATTTTCCTTAAATTTATATGAATTTTAGGATTTGGATATGAAGAGGACGAGTGGCAATACTAAGGTGTACTCTGGACTCTTTTTCTTCAAAAATAATGAATCTTTCAAGAGATAATCTCATAATGAATATCTGTTGAGTTTCAAGTCAGACTAACTTATTTACACAACGTTAGTACAATTATGTTATAGCATTATCGATTAAGACACCTGAACTTTATATACCTTTAAAAATTATTTCATTCTTTATTTACAAATAAAAATCCAAAAAACTTTATTTTAAAATATGTTAATTGTCAAAACATATTCATTTTACATATCTCATGCTGTCATACAAAGCTTTTAAACCGTTTACGGTACATAGTAATGTATGGTACCATCTATAATCAATAATATTATTGGTAATACATGGTTTATATTTTTTATAGATAATCATACAAGCATTACATTTTTATTTCTCATGAAAGAAAAATCAAAAGTTGACCATATATTCAGAAAATTCAACAACATGGTCCAAACTCAAATTCAGATAAAAATACAAGTGTTGAAAATAGACAATGTAAAAAAAAATATTTTGAAAAAAGTTGGTTATGCATTTTAAAAAAGAATGGATTCTCATCAAAGTTCATGTGTTAATACCTCTCAACAAAATAGGATAGCCAAAAGGAAAAATAGACATTTCTTATAAGTTGTCTGGTCTTTCATGTTCACTACTCAAGTTTCAAAATTTTTTAGGGAAAAACTGTTCCAACTGAAACTTATCTTATCATTGGAATGTCTTTCCAAGTCCTTGAATTTTAAACATCCTACCAAATTATACTTCAACACTCTTCTACCACTCGACCTCTATTTACCTGACCTATCAAAGTCTGATTATTCAGTCTTTATTCACATACACAACTATTATATAAGCAAACTAGATTGCAAATCAAGAAAATTCTTTTTTTGGATATTTGTTAAACCAAAAGAGACACGTGTTATTCACCAGTCACCTAGAAGTTCTATAACCCCATGAATGTCATATTCTATTAAAACTAATTATACTAAAAAATTGGTATTTAAGGAGAAGAATACACAAAAAAATTCCAATTTTGGGACTGTACAATTGAATATATTCATCCTCCTTCAACTGAAACTATTCAATATTTAGAACACATAGATTGACATGATATACCTAGACCTACTCATTACACTGAAAAACCTGAACTTTGGGTCTACACTAGAAGGAATAAGAACCAATAAGAAAAAGGATCACAACCACCTGATCAAAGTCATGAATCCAATCCGAATCCAGATCCAGTATCATTGAATTCTTCAGGTAGCCAGCAATACAAACAAACTGTTGGTGCTAGAGTCTTTCAAAATATACCATGTTCTTTTATCTTGCTTCTTAGACTCTGATCAATATGGTTTTTGGTTAATTCCGGCAGACGCCTGGTAAGTCAATGTTTGCTTCTTTAGCCAAACTTCATTTCTTCTCTCTTCTCTCTTCTCTCTTCTCTCTTCTCTCTCTTGTTATGTCTTTTTCTCTTGCTATTCTCTAGTGATTATCCATAACACTATTCCAGTGTCAATTATTTTCTTATTTTTATACCTGAATAGCTAGCTAGTTCCCAAGCAACAGAAACCAAATTGACGTGTTTCTTTATTGCTGCTGCCCAAAACTCCCTGAATATTGATATTCTTCTCTTACCAACACTTCAACAATCAAACTATGAATAGATACTCATCTTTTTATGCTATAGGGTCTAACTGGATACAAATTCTTCACAAAAATTATCCAAATTGGAACAATGTACTGATTATATAACAGGTGCCAAATCAGCAAGTTTCTTGCACCAAGCATCCTGGTATCAAGCTGAGACAAGAGCAAGAGTCATCATTTTTGATATTGCTGCATTTGGAGCTGAAAATGCTATTTTAAGGTCGTCATCTTTACTACCACATGCTGTTGATCACCCATATACAACCCTAAGTAGAGAACATGGTGGTCTTATGAGTTGGCCAGAACATTTCTACAAGACAGGGCAGCATAAGCAAAAAGGCGGGAGGACAGATACGCATGCAAATAGTTTATCTGCAAGAGCAATGCAACTAAGCATTTTTGGCAGCATGGTATGATCAACCTCTTTTGTTTAAAATTTCTTTTTCATAACTTGTATAGTGGAACTAAATTTTGACTTTTGAATGTATCAAGTATTAACCAAGAAAATATTTTTGGAGGTTACTTCACAATTTCTAGTCATTTGCTTTAGTTTTTTATTAAAGTAAACTAATTCTTTTTTAGTTAATTAACTAAAGTATTCTCCTTTCTCCTTTTGGGTTTCTTGGAATAGATGCATAACCCAAAGTCCTCATAAAGTCTATTGAAGGGTGCAGCCTTGAAATTGTGGATCATAATAGTTGTCTTTGACTTAAAACTGATTTAATTATTTCATTCACTAGGTTGACATGCCATGGAGAAACAAAAGTTTTTCAGGGACTCGAAGCAAGCCATCACATAGTTTATCTTATCCAAGGGTTCCTTCAAACAATGGCCACCGTCTTGTTTCCATCAAATCAGAAGGTGCTGCTACTGTGAGGAAGAACCTGGAAGTGAGAAAGTTGGTGAGAAAAATCCCTGCAGGCCCACAGCAAAGTTCAGACAGACCACAGACTCACATAATTGATGATTCCAGTGATGAATCAGCTCCTGAGGATGATCTGATTGTGAGAATTGATTCACCAAGTAGACTTTCTTTTCGCCAGGCTTCTTAAGTGTTTGTTTCTAGTAATGGAAATAATGTGGCAGGACAGATTTATCGGATTGTCTCCAACCATCTGGTTTCCACTGTAAACAGGTCAGAACATAGCCTGCGTTGTGTGTAGCCACAGAATTTGAGAAGACACTTCCCTCGACAATGCAAGGACAATGGATTAATATGAATCAGAATTGTGGCTTATTAGTTTTTAGTTTCTTCTGTTTGAATTTTTGGTTAAAATTGTTCTTCTATGTTATATGGTTGTGTGTTTGTACAAAGTAATAATGCATGGACGAGAAGAAGAAATTCTGACTGTAAGCTTCTAATGTAAATGGCGCTCTGGAGACCATTTTAGTCCTGCAAATTATAATTAAAAGGTGCATTTTGAAGCTTGGGAGACCAAATAGAACCAAGTTTGTGTGTCAGTGTGTTTTAGATTAAAATATTTATTGTAAAAGCGGAAGCGAAAAATAGCAGGAAAGTGCAAATCAAAGCCATGTAGAACGAGAGAAGATAAGAAGATTAATTTACAAAATTACCCTCTTAGTTTAAACACAATTACGAGGATGTATTAATCTTTATTATATTATAAAATACTTTTTATATTATCATTCTGTTAACTTCACGCCAAAACATTTAACAATAATATTATTGTGAAAATTTAACAAAAATACAATTATGAAATTATTCTTTTAATGGTTATTTAAGAAATTATTAACTGAAAGATGTATTTTTACACTAAAATAGCATAGTAACTTACGTCATAATTGTAATTGAGTTAATATAATATATTTACAAATGGTCGGGCCATAAAAATTCTACGAAATAATCATTGATGTGCTATTATATTGATAAGTTTTAAATTAATTAATAATATTTGTTTACGATAATTTTTATTAAATTATTAACAATAATGAAGATAGTAAAATGAAGGTATTCACTATTTAGAAATTAATCTCCTTAAAAATTAATGATTCACGATGTGTTGAATGTTCTAAAAAAAATTAAAAGAAAGAAAATGTGTCTTTATGTGGCCGAGAGTAGAGGAACATTTTAAGACGCAACTTGTTCATTGTGCTAAAAAAGTAACCTTGTAGTGATCTTTCTGCTCCCTTTAGATTACAAAAGGAAACAAATGTTGAGTCAGTAAACTTTTCTCTTCACATCACAAAACTTGAAAAATACTACTAAGAGCAATAGATATTCGACATTTGAATTCCACATGATTCCTTCAAAAGAAGATTGAACCCATATTTTTGTTTATCAGTTTGGAAAATAATAGTAAAACACAATTTTCCAGCAATAACTTTGAAAACATGCAAATGGATCCCAGAATTTTATCTCACACAAGTTCAAATTTCATTGCTTAACTTGAAGTAAGACAGCCAAACAAAGTAGCCAACCAGAACTCTTTCATTATTTCAGAAAACTTATTAATTCTTGGTTTAATCATTATCTATTTCATGTAATGAGTAAAACTTTACAATACATCATAATTTATGTGATTCTAAAGCTGATTTTAGTTCCTAGCATGTGAACAAAATCCTGATTTTGATTCTATTCTTTGTATGTATACAAGTCCCACACCCTGGATAAGCTTCTAACGATATCACCATTCAGACCTCGTAAAGCATTCCAACCTCAATTCGATGCGATGGCAGAACCCCAAGAGCAGGGAGGGCAGACCTACAGTTACTGTGCATAACTTCATAAAAGGCAAGCATGGCTCGATCAAACCGGCTGCAGTTCTTGCCTACATGAAACCTTGTCTTTCCTCGAACGTGGATAACACCAGCCGCCCTGGCTGTCTCCAAGTCAGAAATTTCATTTTGGATCATCACAGGATCAGATGGCAGACAGCATGAGCTATTATGTATATGCATCCACAAGCTCTCAGTTACTTGATTTACAAACTCTTCTCCTTCGAGATTCAAGGAATCTGCGTAACCATACTGAATTATACACCCATAAATTCCTTGGAGGCCCAATTTTTTTATGACAACCTTTTCATGTGGTGCAACCTTCGGAACCAGCAAATACCGCAGTGTAATAAAAATAGTGACATTGTGTAGAGACTTCATACTTCTAATATAATGTCCAAGAATAGGAGAGAGTCCATCTTGGATATTGGTGTAAAAGAAGCACAATCCAGGTACCCTTTGGATACTCGGATTGGCTAATAGCATTTCAAGTCTCTGCAAATCTATTCTGTGAGTCAAATCATATTCCATCTTTCTCTGCCTTCCATAGAACCAGCCAAACATAATGAAGGCAAGGATAAAGGATATGGCAAAAGGAATCCATCCGCCCTCAGGAATTTTGGTGAAAACAGCACTTACGTAAATGCCTTCCATTGTAAAAAATACAATGAAGTAAAGGGTGACCAGCACAAAAGGAGCTCTCCATATCATGATCATGACTAAAGTCAATAACAGAGTAGTGATAAGCATCACTAAACTAACAACAACCCCTGTAATCAAAACTTTTTATTAGTTGATTGCAAATAAAGAAATAACTGATGAGGAAATGGAAAGGGCAAAAGAAATGACTGCTTATGTAACACTAGGATAGTATATAATTTGTAATGTAATCAAATCAGCATGAAAAAGAATCGTATCTTGATCCAAAATGATATGCAAGTGTAACAGCATTAACAGTAAATCTAACGATGAACTGGCAAGACATGAACGTTATTCTTATAAAGGAATAAAAAGATATGAAAGGTTATGTAACAACAAGGACCCACTGCTCACCAAGTATTGAATTATGAAAACGTGTTATTACAGTATTAATCAAGTAACTGGGATGCAAATAAATACCAAGATGTTCATTATACTATCATTGTGAAATATGCACTGTGACAAATTCTATCGAGTGATTCACTGGTTTTGCAAATTCAAAGCAGGGCAACAATAGCTACTTCAGGACCATGTTCAGATAATTATCAGCTCTATCTGAATAGTAATCAACCCAGAATGCTGTTAAACACCAGTTAAACATACCAAAAGCATTTCCAATGTCTTTCCCATCACCAAAAATAAGAATGACAGCAACACATAGGAGCATAAGGATATAGTTGATTTCTGGGGATTAGACCTCGCCTTCTTTGTTACGTGATGTGTGCACCACTTTGACTCGAGGGAAATAGTCCAAAACAACAGATTGCTTAATAACAGAAAAGGTAGCCGAGATCAGAGATTGGCTTGCAACAATTGCAGCTAACGTTGCAATAACAAAGATAGGCCAGTAAATTTTTCCTGGTATGAACTTGTAGAATCCATCTTCGTGATCATTGGGGTTCCTGATTAAGTATGCTGTTTGTCCCGCGTATGTGAGAACAAGTGATGGATATATTGTAAACAAGAAAGCTATCTGTTGGCAAAGAATGCATGGAGAAGCCGTTAGAATCGTACACAAGCACCTAGGTTATAAGGTGGACTTATCGTTACCTGAATGGAACTCCTATTAAAATGACCGAGATCTGCGAACAATGCTTCAGAACCTACAGGCAAGAAATAATCACCAAATATATATACATGGGTGCATGCATCAACAATGAGGGAAGAGAAAAAAAATGAACCAGAATGCAACCAGATATCTGTGCTTCTTTGCACATCCACCAAGTTCTATACAAGCGAGAGATTCAAGCAGATCTAAACAAAATCTAAGTATCTAACCACTAATTCCTTTGATAAACTAAATAATGATCCTCACAGTAGAGTTAACAAATTTGTTTCAGGACTTTCAGATTTCTGTTTGATATATGCTACTCAAATAATCAGCATAAACATGTCAACGCTTTAGAATTGTGATGATAACCTAGATTCACACCTTCCAAATACCTGGAAACTTTCTCTAGACCTCTTCATACAAGAAGCACATAGGAAGATACAAACACAACTGGTTGCATTTTAAATATACTAGCAACCATTTATAGTGTGTCTTGCTGAATGATACTTTTTTCTCTAAAACCCTTTCATTCTGATTTGCTGGGATTCCCCTTCCTTTTAGCTTTATATAAAGCAAGAGTCAGCATGCCATGAAACCCTTTCCAGGAACCCTACTAATTGTAAAAATCCAATTCCTATACAAATTGGTATCTTCAAAGAATTTCCCCGTAAAACAGAATCATAGTCGACTTTCATAACTAAAAATTCTTTTCTTTTTATAAAACTGACTTATATTTAATTTGCTACTAAAACTCTCTCTAATATTCTCCTATATCTATTCAGTTGTTGTAAATTACATATCATGAATAAAAATTCAATAAATACAAAATTTAGTTATAAATTTTCATGGTACCGGAGCAAGATTTCTTGACCCTGAAAAATCTTTTTTTTTCTCTCTTGTGGATAACCAAATACATAATGGCCATCACAAGAACCAATTACCTCTCTGAAGTCACATCTCAATCTGATGAAAATATTTCCATCAGAACACCCAAATCGAAAATCCCTCAAATTCATATCACCAACCAAAAGCTAAACAAAAACAACCACATTCAATGGTCTCAATCGATCAAGATGATTATTTGTGGATGAGGGAGAGAAGAGTACATCCCAGGAGAAGTCACTCAAACGGGTGCCGATTATTTGTTCTGGTCATGTCGTGGAATGCCAAACTTGAAAGGTCAAGAATAATCTAGTCATGTCGTGATTGATTAACTCCATGACAATGAGAATTTTTTGTTGTATGGAAAGGCACAAAAAATTTGGGAAGTAACCAAAGAGTTTTACTCAACCAAATAAAACATATCAAAAATTTTTGCTTTTGAACTAGCCTCCATGACCTACGACAAGGAGATCTATTCATAATCCAATACTACAGCATGGTTACCCATCATTGGCAACAGCTCGATATGTTTGAGAAACTTGAGTGGAGCTGTTCAGATTATGCAAAATAGTATAGAGAAATTTTTTAAAGAAAAATAATTTTTAAATTTATTATGGGATTGAATAAAGTCTAAATGAAGTCTAGGAAAGAATACTCAAGATGAAACGATGACCTAGTATTATTGAGATTTCTGAAGGAGAGAAAAAGTAAAAAAAAAAAAAAATGTTGGGAAATGGATCTCAAGCCCTACAATTGAGCAAAACTCTATCTTGACTATTGAGAATCCTCACCCCAACTTACACAACCGACAAAGAAACAGAAGTTCTTGGTATGATTGTTGCAGAAAATTAGGTCATACTCAAAACAATTGTTGGAAAATTCATTGAAAACCCACTTATTTGAAGACCACAAAATCAGTTTCAGATGAAAAAAGTAAGGAACATCATGTCTCTATTGATGAAGTTGTTTCTACTAAACAATCATACCATTCAGTAAAAAGCATATAGAAGTTATCCAAAAAAGTTCCTAATCATAATTCTATCAATAATAATATAAAATTTGGAATAACAGCCCGAAAAGGTAATTACTTTAATGTTCTTAATGTTATTCCAAGAAGTTAAAATACTTCAATCAATGACTCGGGGGCATCAAATCATTTTATGGGAAATAAAACATTATTATAAGAATATAATCCATGTAATGAGAATCTCATCATAAAAATATCAAATCGATCTTACTTAAAAATGGTCAAGATAGGTGATATTCTCATCTCAAATAAGTTAACCTTAAAGGGAGTGCTTCATGTACCTAATTAGGATTGCAGCTTGTTATTAGTATGAAAACTTACCCAAGATCATAATTGTATAGCTACATTTTTCTTAAATTTATAACGAAAATTGTCAATGCTAAAATGTACTCAAGGCTCTTTTTTCTCAAAGATAATGCATCTTTCATAAAACAATCTCATAATACAATATGTGTGGAGTCTCAAGGCAGTTCAACTTAGATAATCTTAAAACAATTATGTTATATTATTATCGATTAAGACATCCAAATTTTATATACATTTAAAAATTATTTCCTTCTTATTCAAAAATAAAAATCCGAAAAACTTTTAATTGTGAAGTACGTCAATTTTGAAAATATATTCGTTCTATATGTCTCATGTTACTCCACAAAATCTCTAAATTGTTTGCTATAGTACATAATGATGCAAAGACCCTCTAAAATCAACAATATTACTAATACTAGATGTTTTCTATCCTTTGTAAATTATCGTACAAGAATTACATGATTGTTCCTCGTGAAAGAAAAGTCAAAAGTTGGTCATACATTCAGAAAATTCAACAATTTGGTCTAAACATAATTCCAGACAAAAGTACAAGTTTTAAAAACAATGCAAAAGAATATTCAGAAAATGAAATGGATATATATCTTGCAAAAGAGGGGATTGTTCATCAAAGTTCATATGTTGATACCCCTCATCAAAATGGAGTTACCAAAAAGAAGAATAGACATCTTTTGAAAGTTGCCCCGTCCCTCATGTTCACAACTGAAGTTCCAAAATTTTTCTAGGAAAAACATGTCCTAACTACAACTTACCTTATCAATAGACTATCTTCCCGAGTCCTTGAGTTTCAAATCCTACCAAGTTATACTCCAATATTTTCCTTCCACTCAACTTCTGTCTACCCTACCAATCAAAGTTTTTAGTTGTTAAACTTTTTTTTACATACACAACCATTCAGAAGCAAACTAGATATCAAATCAATAAAATGAATCTTTGTTGGGTATTCATCAAAGCAAAAAAAATATAAGCGTTATTCACTAGTCATCTAAAAATTCTATTTAACTTCAAGGATGTTATCTTTCGCGAAAACCAAGCATACTACAAAATTGGTATTTAGGGGGAGAAAATACACAAGAATTCCAATTTTGGGACTTTACCACTAAATATCTTCATCCTCTTCCAATTAAACTTATTCAATTTCCAGAACACATAGATCGAGATGTGACACTGGGACCTGAACCTACTCACCATACTAGAAAAGTTAAAGTTCGGTTTACACCAAAAGGAACAAGAACCAATAAGAGAAAGAGCCATAACCATCTTATCATAGTCATGAATCCAATCCAGATCCAAATCCAGCATCATTAAATACCTTAAGTAACCTAAATTCAGATCTCTCCTTTGATAATTTGTACGATGATAGACCTATTGTTCTAAGAAAACAAAAAAGAGAATGAATTGATCATCTAATTCACAATTTTGTTTCATGCAGAAGTCTGTCATCAACTCGTTAGATATTTGTTAGTAATGTTAATAAAATATAGATATCAAGGACGATACATAAAGCACTATGAATACCCGAATAGAAAACTACAATCAAGGAGGAAATTCAAGCCTTAGAAAAGAATAGAACTTAGAAAGAAGAAGTACCACTTGGGAGACACCCAGTTGACTGTAAATGGGTGTCACAATCAAGCATAATGCTAATAGTGGTATCGATAGATGCAAAGCTCAATTAGTAGCCAAAAACTTTACTCAAACTTACGGAACCAATTATCAAGAAATACTTGCAACAGTAGCAAAGTTTAATACAATTCGGATACTAATGTCTCTAACTACCAATCTGGACTGGCCACTATTCTAATTAAATATAAAAAATATTTTTCTTGATGGAGAACTTGAGAATAAGTCTATATGGAGATACCACCTGCTTTTGAAAATCAAGTTACTACCAGAAAGATCCGCAAAAAGTCCCTTTGTGAACTCAAATAATCTCCAAAAGTATGATTCGACAAATTCACTAAGGTGATTATAATCAATGTCAAACAAATCATACTATATTTATCAAGTATGATTCTTTTAAAAAAAAAAAGCAATCTTCATCATATATGTAAATAATATAATAGTCAAAAGGAATGACATCGAAGAATTACTCGAACTAAAAAGTCTTAACTAAACAATTTGATATTAAAGACTTAAGAAATCTCAAATATTTATTGGGAATTGAAATTATTTGGTCAAGGAAAAGAATCTCAATTTCTCAATAAAAATATGTGTTTAATCTTCTAAAAAAGATCGAAGTGCTTGGATGCAAGCTTGCAGATACACCCATGGATCCCAATATTAAATCAAGAAATAAAAAATTGACAACGCTCCAGTTGATAAAGAAAGATAGCAATATCTAGTGGGTATATTAATATACCTCTCAGATACCAAATTAGATATTAGTTTTGTTGTCAGTGTGGTAAGTCATATGAATAACCCCACTAAAGAACTTAAGGACGCAATGTTTTGAATATTCAATTATTTAAAAATGACAGCTGGACAAGAACTATTTCAAAAAAAAAAACATAATCTAATAAATTGAAATATATGCTGATATAAACTAAGCTGCTTCTATAACTAATAGATCTTCCTTTGAATATTATACATGTCTGAAGAAGTCTAGTTACTTGTATAAGCAAGAAGCAGTCAGTTGTATCAAGGAGTAATGCTGAAGCTGAATTTAGCACTTTAGCATATGGTTTTTGTGAAGGAATATGGCTACAAAGGATATTGAAACTAGCCTAAAAATAAGTTTAGAGCTTTAACACATGATATCTGTGCAGGAATATGACTATAAAAAGTATTTAGTGAATTAAGAATTCTTTCTTTAGAGTCTATAAAAGTGACAATCAATCCACAATAAGTATAGTAAAGAACTCAATTTATCATGATTGAACTAAGTATATGGAGATTGATAAACACTTTGTGAAAAAGAAGATAGAGTTAGGAGTACCATCCTTGTGGCACATTTAATTTTGCGATTAAATCACAGATATTTTTACAAGACATTACCTAGGAAGACTTTCAAAGAATTGAATTCCAAACTTGGTTTGCTCAAGATCTTCAAACCAGCATAAGGGAGAGTACAGGAATCCGACTTCTTGTAGAAGTTTGATTCCTATACAGATTGGCACCTTCAATGAAATCTCCCAGTAAAGCATAATCATAGTTGAGTTCTATAACTGGAAATTCTTTTTCTTTTATGGGACTCATTTATATTTTCTTTCTTAATAAAACTTTCTTTAATATTCTTTTATATATATTAAGTTGTTGTAAATTAAATATCATGAATAAAAATCCAGCGAATAAAAAATTTAATTACAAATTTTCATCCTTCATTCTAGTGCAAGCAGTTTGCATATATACATTCGCAGAAGGTTTTTAGATAATATTAAAAAAACAAGGAAAAGCTAATCAAGTCATCGAAAAACTTTTAAGCACAAGCTCTACCTGTTATACAAAGGACAGTGCCACCAAGTAACAACCAGCCTTCCTTCCCTTTTCTCCAGAAAAATTGGATGATATAGTGAGGAGATAGAGCCTTGAATATAGTGGGGTAATGATGTATAATGCTATATATTGCTACCAATGGTGTACTCAGAGTCCATGCACCCATAATTGGTGAAAAAAGAAAGCTCACTCGAGAGGTCCCAAATTTCTGCAGCAGAAATAGAACAACTAGAACTACTGCAGAAAGAGCATCCACCAAAGCTGAAAATTACAGACATAAAGTTACAAACTCGAGAACAAAATTTGCCAACATGATTCATAGAAGAGATTCTAGATATCAAAACTATGACAAAATATTCAAGTGGCATCTAGACCTGGCCAAAGCCACAACAGAAACTTTATACCTTAGTAATATTACTTAGTCTTACAAAATTTCACTTTCATCTGTTTCACTCGTTGTTCCTATCTCTGTCTATGACTTGGATAAACTGTGACCATAGCCTATAGTTATGAAATTAAAAGTAGCCACCAGTATAAACCAATTCTTCCAAAACCATTTTCAAAAAGTTCTGTAGTAATCGCAAACTAATGTCTCATAGAAAACAACAGTTTACCATTTGACAGAATATAACAATCCCTTATGATTCTATCATCATATGCATCTTAGCAATTCCTTAGTGCCAATGAATGTTCGCAGATGACTCATCTATCTTAAAGTGGGATATCAGCTAGTAGCAAATACCCACAGAATATAGAAATCAAAATTTCCTTTTTATCATAATAAAGAGCTAAATGATATTGCTAGCCCCAAAAAT